TTATAACATCGACTGAGATAAAAGAATAAAATAAAATATTAAAATCACGATATATCTCGCTGCATTGCACGAATACACTTCTAGCGTCCAATAATGAATGCATCACATATTTGTGGTCAACTCTTATTATCATTTTGGTTAAGACTAAAATAAGTATATTATCCTTTTTTCCAATTTGGTATTTGCTAAATTAAACAACCCAAGTCCCATGTTGACTCAAATACATGATAATGACCTTTTCATGCTTATCCATTTTCATTTTTATTAAATAAATCATATTATTATAAGTATTTTTTTAATTGAAAAAAGTTTAAATAACAACCTATTTTGAAAAAATAATTTACCAATTTATCTTTATATAATAATTTTAATATATAATAATATATTTGGCAAATTAGATGATAAATAAACTGTTAACTGATATACTAGTTATTGGTTGAAAATTTAACTATTGACTAATAAGCTTGCTATTAGCAGAAAACTTAGTTGATTAACTAATCACATATGGTAAAAACTGTCTGACAAATCTAAAATAATAAAAAAAAATGTTAAAAAAAATTCTCAGTTTTAACATTATTTAATATAATTAAAACAAAATTACTGATACAATTCATCATGTTAAAATAAACATTAACAAAAATAAAAAGTTCTTCATTTATTTAGGTCTAATGAACATTTCGTGCTTTTGATATTATGGGGGTGTTTGGGATTGCTTATTTGAAACAATTTATGTTTTATTACAAAAGCGTTTATCAACTTATTATAAGTTAAAAAGGTTTAACTTCCTTAAAAACTTTTTATTATCGGTTTGACACCGGTATAAGCTGTTTATCCAAACACTCAAAAGTGCTTATTACCGGTGTCACACCGAAATAAATCAACAAGTTGTTTTTATAAACAATCCATAACACCCCGATATTTGTAACATTATTACGAATTTCTTTTCACACATCTTATAACGTATAGATGTGGATTCTTGATTATAAAACCAATTTAATATAAATTTACTAAAAAAAATTGAGCAAATTATATATATATATACATATATACATTAGCAGTGTATCCGCGCAATGCGGCGGGATGTGAAATTTTGAAAAGATGTAAACAGACATATCGATTACGGATAAAAAATTTGTATTTTGTTCTATCAGGATATATATTTGAAAAGATTTAAAAGGTTATATCAGGATATATATTCAACTTCCCGCGTAATGCGCCATGAGATAAAGGTTCTATCAGGATATATATTCAATTTTTAAGTATCATTTTATATTTTGCAAAATATCTTTGAAATAATTGGTGGTTCACATCTGTATCAAAATCCGAAAATGACAAATTAATGCAATTTCACATTCAGAAAGTCTAAAATTTATGTTTAAAAAAATAGAAATTAGAATCATGTTTTTATCATACACAATCATCATTCAAAACTTCTTGATACACCACATTTGATGTGTAGACTCCTTCCTGGTTGAACTTTTTGGTAGGTTTCACTAATACCTTCGTATTATCACGTGATATCCCTCTGGACAATGCCACGTAAAGTTGGCCGTGCGAGAATACCGATTCCGGTAGATAAACACCTACCACCGGAATTGTCTGTCCTTGAGCTTTATTGATTGTCATGGCAAAACAAAGTCGAACRGGAAATTGTTTTCTCTTTAATTTAAAGGGAAACATATCATCTTCAGACGGACATAGAGGAATTCTTGGTAAAAATACCCTCTTACCAGCATGCTGACCAACAGCTATTTCTGCATCGATAGCATTCTGCTGAAAACCTCTACATATCAACCTCGTGCCGTTAGACAATCCATTTGAGGGGTCGATATTCCGCAATAGTATTATCGGACATGCAATTTTAAGCCGGAGGTAATGAGGGGGCAAACCGCTAACAGTCAATGAGTTTAAGAACTCCATCGGATATAAATTATTCTTGTCATCTTCTGCTTCATCAAAACTGTAGTAAATTTTTTCCTCTCCACAGAATCTTTCAATCAACTGATCATTAATCTCGTCGACATGCTCATTTTTTGTTGTTAGTATCGCCCTTGAAATGATATAATCTGACGCAGTCTCGCAGGTTTGAAGAGAAGGAAAGATTGCATCAATCAAAACATCCTTCGATTCATTTTTATTTGTGTAAGGAATGGCCATGTCATCAGGTATGCGAATAAAGTTTCCGTCTACTGATTCTTCATCTCCATCACCGACACGTAACAGAAAATCCGAAAACCATGGATTAGTAAGTGCTCTCATATTGATCGTTAATTGCAACTTTTTAATCGAAGACCAAATAAGTGACATCCGTAAGCTTGAGTCTACGATCTGTGCTCGAGTGCCATGTCTCATTACTGGCAACACCTGTCTAAAATCACCTCCCATAATCATTATTTTCCCACCAAATGGAAGTCTCACCACAGTGATGTCTTGCATTGTTCTATCGAGTGCCTCTACTGCCTGTCTCTTTGCCATTAATGTTTCATCCCAGATGATTATTTTTGCGACTCGAAGCAGTTGAGCAGTTCCGCTTTGTTTTTTTATATTGCACACCGAATTATTACTAAGAGTAAGGGGAATCTTGAATCGAGAGTGAGATGTTCTCCCCCCTGGCATGTTATTAGCGGCAGCACCAGATGAAACGGTTGCGAGAGCAATAAATCCACGGGAACGAACATTAGCTAGCAAAGCTCTATACAAAAATGTTTTCCCAGTTCCACCCGATCCATCTACAAAAAACACAGCTAGACAATCATTATCTACATGCGTCATGATCTCATCAAATGCATGTTTCTGGTCGGAATTTAGAGAGTTTCGAGCATTTAAGTCTTCGTCTTGCACAATTATGGAGTACTCCTCTTGTACCTCACGAAATCCTCGTGATTCTAAATTGACAGCTGCATTTAAACTTGGAAGATCAAAATCATCGAGGTTCTTACCCATAGATTGTAAAAAGACGGCGATGTCTGTAAGAACCATATTTCGAACTCCCTCAACATTTTCGTAGTCTCGTCTATAATCTTCAGAGAGTGAATCATAATGTTCATCCCATAACTTGCGAACATCTCCCGGCTCACAATAAATCAAGATCGTCGTGAATAATCGTCTAAGAGCATTGGGAAACTGAAATAAGGAGGCATCAGCAAGACAATGCGATAAATTATCGTCGGTCTCTATTAAACCTCTCTCAAATGCTGCTTTGCGAAATGTTGGATGTATAAATGCCATTAACTGTGTAAATATCTTCAAAGCACGTGGGGCCACTAATATGAGACAGAAGTAGGCGTAGATAATATCGTTCTCCTTCGGCAGGATTAGCATGATCCATTCGTCCTCTCATTGATCCTTGTTTTCGAGGATTCCATTTACGTGAACTGGCATTCCATGTGTAATGTTTCGAAAAATATTTGTATAAATATTGTCTCGCACTCATATCTGTTTTATTCCTCTCAAAAAATGCGATCAACATTGAGCTCTTGTCTCTCTCTCTCTCTCTCTATCAACGATATCTGTCATTATATCATTCTCTCTGAACCTAACTAGCTGCTTATTCAGAAGATGGACCTGCAAAGCCATCACACAAGGGTGGATTTGAGAAAGTGGAAACCTAAAAATACTCCAAATTGCCTCAGGTGGCGAAACATATCGTGCATCATGAAATCTCTTTATCTCGTTGACAATGACCTCTTCTGTATCAGGATCGACATGAATAACCTGTTTGTCATGACCCTTGTAAACATATTTGAACACATAATTCACAGATATTATACTTGAGCAAACCTCAACATTGATGTGACAGTTGAACATCATTAGCAACTTTGGATTATATGGGACCACCCATCTATTATCAAGGATATTACCCCGGACGTTCACCTTTATTCCATTGTTTCTCCTTCGATACATCGGATATGAGTTATCTGTCTGCACCGTCTTGTTGTTGAATTGCTGAGGATATCTAAAACGACATTTTCTCGGCTCACCTTCCATACAAGGGCTAGACGGTCGTAAGTGGCCGCAAAGACCATGCATCATGTGCTTTATCACCAGCTCGTGCATTTCAGGATACTTTGTCGGGTCCGGGATTTCAGCACAAACTATCTTGTCGTAATGGTCTGGGTTTGTAATCTTGTGTTCCGGTTTCATTATCATGAGGATATGTGCATGTGGCAAACCACGTTTTTGAAACTCGATGACATAAACATATACCCCAACCTCACCGATGATGTGATCCTTGAAGAGTTGATTTTTAAGATCCTCTAATTTGGCACAAAAAACTCTTGCAACAAGGTCCGGCCTATCTTGTGCGGTTTGACCAGGCAATAACTCTTTAAGGATTTCAGACCACTTCGGATTACACGTCATGGTAAGGAATATATCGGGCTTCCTGTCATCTTGAACTAAAGTCATAACATCCATAAATCTTCTTCGCATATCACGTGGACCTCCGATAAAACTTGCAGGAAGCACAACCCGTTGTCCAATTCTACTTGGTTGAACCTCACTGGCATTGACGCAATCCACAACACCTTGGTATAAGTCTGATCTTATCTTCGTTTGATTCCTTTCAATAAAAGACAAACGTGTAGTCTCTATCTTGATGTACATATCTACCACGAACTGTTGAAATAATCTTCCGCCTAATAGAATAACGTTATTACTCGACCGAATCTGGAACTTGTAACAATAATAATCTCACATTGTTACAGTTTTCCTACCCCTTCCTGAGCTAACCTCTGCATAGTATCGAATTTGAATCATATAGATTAATAAATGAGTGAATAAGGTAATAAATATATGTGACAATGTTCATACCTTCATGATCCTCGTCGAAGATTTCGTTGTCATTAACAATTTCATCAATGCACACCCCATGTCTGGGTATTCTAGCATGCCATCCAGACTCATCGTTGGGAAAAAACAAAGGATAAGACAAAGGATCATAGCAACCATAGTGATGTTCAACTTTTTTACTGTAGTCAGACCTTCCATACACAACAATACTTCTCTTGTATGCAGTGATATTGTCTTTGCCTTCCACCCAAATACCAGCAACTTGTAGAATGTTAGAATTTGCTTAAATACCATGCATATGATACATTTATTATAAATGAGATAAAATAAGTACTTGTATTTCAACATCAGATGTGGTCGGTCGGTTGTACACCCTCTGGTCAAGTTCCACAGAAGCATACAAAGTGACTCTATAATTATCGAGTGGTCCTAGCTCAACAAGGCTTCGAAATGTTCTCACGTATGGGTTTATAGAAAGAACACGAGTCAACATTTCAATGACGTTTCTATCAAGATTTGGCCATTGTAGTCTATGCGAAAGCTCTTATTCGGCATCATAAAAATAAAGTTGTAAGTACCGAGGATGTCTATCCCTCGGAACTAACTGATCGATTCTATGATATATTTCCCCTTGAACACGAAACGTATATACTCCAGATATCATATTGCTCACTGTACTATCCAAAGTTACCCCCATTGACGTGAAGGAAAAGTTTGTGTTGTATGCACGAATATTGTGCCTAAACATTTCGCCTAACTTTGATTGTGTTGTAAATAAATTGTATAATTCTTTTGGAATGGGTGAGTATGCCAAATTTGTCTTACCACTCATGCAACAAAAGGAAGAGAATTCAAATTCGAACCGCTTTGCTCCACAATGTTCACATGCATTTTGTTCCTTCAACACACGATGTTGTTTAGGGACACCATCATAAACAAAATTGTATGGATCCTCCTGTTGGATCTCAACATTTCTATTATTTTCCTTGTTTCGTTGATAATAGTTTCGGTTAGTAATTCTTCTCCTTTGAATGCCTAAGAAAGATATTTGGATACGACAAATAAATATTATTATTATAAAGAACTACGAAAGTCGAGTTAAAAAAGATCGAGTTCGAAAAAAAATACTAACTCATCGATTCTTGATTAACAGCTTCGTCAAAAAGAGGCAGCAATCTTCCATACTTATTTATAATGCCTATGGAAAAAAACATGTCAATGAGTCTAAAGTTTATATGAACACTAAAGTTTCTAAAGTGTGGATAACCGGATGGTATTTACCATTGACATTTCGTTGATAATAGTTTCGATTAACAATTCTTCTCCTTTGTGCAAAAGTTAGTGTGCTGGTAGGAGTTGTTTCATTGATATTCTCTTGTGTTGTCTCAATTAGAGAGATATCTCCCATGTTTGACATTGATTGACTACTTCCTTCACCAAACACAATTTTTCTTTTTTTCTTCATCTTTTTTTGTTCTGCATAATAAAGTCTATTGTATTAAATTTTATTTTTAAATAAATATATATTGAGTAAGTACATCAAAAATTAAAATGTATTCTTATTATATATTCCACATACCTTTTGCTATATCAAAATTAACTTGAGGACCATCAACATTTGCACTTCCTTCGTCGACAATCCTCATTATGCCCTTTTAACTACATATAATAAATAAATATTGGCGCACATCACTTATTTACAAAACATTCACCAATATAAAATAACATAAAAGTTGCATATGATTTATTTTCACAACAATCACAAAAAACACCCAAGCCCTAAACAAACTTGTTGACATATTTTTAACTCAACATAAGTTTTGTGTTGTGGGCTTCAAACATTCACTGAATTCAAACCAATGTTCAAAACATCATTCAACTAATACAAAATAACGTAAAAGTTACACGTATTTTTATCTCCAAAACAATCACAAAAAACACTCAACCCTAACCAATTTGGTGACGAATTTTTAACTCAGCAAAACTTTTATGTTGTGGGCCTCCGACATAACTGGATCGATCACATACTTGATTAACGCCGTAGAACTCAAAATATTCACTGAAAATATTAGAAAATATAAATTTAGTAGAGTTAATATAATATTTAAAACAAAATGAAAACATAAATTATTAAATAATATATAACATACTTGAATTTAAATGATTAACTTTAACCCGAGATGCATAAAATATTGAATTATTTTTTTATGGCTCGGGCGATCCGCACAATACGTGTATGCTGAGTATCGTACAACCTCAACTTTATCATGTGCCCCCTATTAAAATAGTAAACTTAGTAAAACAATTTAAACAATTTGTTAATTTGGTAAATATTTAATTTTTATACAAAATGCAAACTTACGTTCCATCTTGTAAAAATAAATCACACGAGCCCAATCGAAAGACACGATCGTCCCGTACATACTTAACACGTCCTCCCTTTATGATTTTCCCAACAACATCTAACAGAAGATATTTAAATCTAAAAATTAAATATTGATTTGATATGAGAAATATATTTATTTAAATTTAATAGAAGATTTTATCTACCAATTATCATCTTTCTTGTACTCCCATCTTCAGCAAGAGTTTTTATCGAAGGCACCGATGGATATAACACAAACCTTCTCTMAMTATCACYCGTCAGCGGGATTAAYTTGGTGTTTTTACTRATGATGATGATCCATTCGCCACRAACCAAACTATATTTTTCATACWTTGGGTACTCATGGCAAGTCCCTTCAATTTGAAAATGTTCCAAAGAAAAAACATCTCCCAACAAATTTCTTTGTTTGTAGAAATTCAGTAAACCACATGAAACAATTGCTGCCATTTTGTCTCTCTAATGCATAAAATATATAATATTATATTTGTTAGTATAYTATTATAAAAAGAAATTTAATGAAAACAAAACTAAAATATAAATATTTTCACTTACGTTTCGGTCAAGAAAGATAAGATATAGTTTTTTTCTTCCACATCTTCCCAAACAAATTCGACACGAAGAGTGGAAAAATTTCACCAGACATGAGGTTGTTGTAATGATGAAAATACTTCGGCATAAGAATGTGAATCCATTTTCTACAAATTAAATTAAAAATGATATAATATGAAACACATATATTAAAAAATATTCATTTTTTTGAAAAAAAATAAAGAATAGGACGAATGAAAGGAGAAGGAAGAATTTTTTGGGCAATCATAAGTGAATGGATTGGAATACGATTTATTGGACTAATTCTCTCAAGTGGCTAAAAAAGGTTTAATTCATGAGGCCTATTATTACCTGATGGGCTGTATAAATATTCATTATGCCAACAACTTGGATTTCATCATAAAGAATGATGTGGACTTGGGCCTCTACTTTGAAATGGACTCACCCCAAGAACTGTAGGACTTTGTTAGGTATGGGTGTAAATAAACTGTAGGACCTTGTGGACTTGGACCTCTACTTTGATGGGTTGTATAAATATTCATTATTTTCCAATGTTGGGTATGGATGTAAACCTTTGTTAATTGTTTTTCTCAAACATTTTTTAAGATGTTGCTTAATTATCTTTGTAAAAATGGGTATGTCCATTTCTTTCTTTTAATTTCATTTTTTAACATGCACGTGTTTGGTAAGCTTAAGTAGGACCCCACAACTACATGTACTTTTTCATATCACTTTTAATTTATTTCTAACAAAAAAATCAAAACCAATTTATAAGTTATGAATTTAATTTTAAATTTTGAAATTTAATAATTTTCTTATTGAAATGTTTAGGAGTCGTTTATTAGGTACTTATCTTGATAARTGTTTACAGTTTAATTTCTTGTCAGATRAATATAACAAAGACCAACAATATTACCTAAAAAAAAGGAAGACAAGGGTCATGAGTTTTACCCAGTAAATATGGTGACTCTTATCCAAGATAAATGAGAATGATAAYTYTTAACATATAAACATTTGCATAAGTTGTTTTGTCAAACATCTTTTCCTAATTATCACACTTAGAAATTAARTTTGACATATTACTTATAAATTCTGGAATTTTATTCAAATTGTTTTATTTAAACATACTTTTTGTGTAACTTTTTCCATTTGCTTTTAATGGATAAAATATTCAAAAAGAGAAAAAAGGGAGATTGATATTTAAATAGTGACTTGATAGAAGGTACAACAAAGGAAGCCTAATATTCAAACAGTGACTTGATATAGTTAGATTGACAATGAACAACATTAATGAAAACAGGAAGAAACATTAAAAAACCTAGGAGAATGAACAGTGATCAAGACAACCCAAATTCAATTGCTTAACCCAGCAAAAGGTTACCAGTTTGAAACATCAATATCTAAGTATCAAAAACATTACCAAATTCTTGAAAAACAATCAGCATAAATAACTAAGTTACAAAAAGAAATTGAGAAAAACGTAAACAGTTAACCTGCTCAAGTTTTGATGGTGGAAACGAAAAGTAAGATTCAATGCATACCAGGCAACTTTCTTTGTTTGTGTAGTGGAACAAATTTGGCACCAATAGCTTCAACTCCTGTATATCACAATCTTACAGTGAGCAAACAACAAACATCATTAACTACAAACCTGAAAAGGCTCCAATGAGCTCACAACCCAAATTCAGTAAATATTTATTTATCATTATGCAAGGTAATTTCTTAAAGCGATTAAAATATCAACTAATATCGCAAAAGGTAAGCAGTAAAAGGAGATCTGCAACTAAATTATTCAAAGTCGCTGAATCAACTTTCTAATTTGCAGAAAATAAATTTTGCATTGATATGAATCCCAAAAATGGAAGTAAATCAATACACCAAAGTACCAAACTAAGCATCACTAAATGATCTATTTCTATATCTTGCAAACAAGAAATTCTATGTCTTTTTTCTCTTTGCTTGCCTATGATTCATCCAAAATGTCTTGCCATACTCTTGAAATAATAGACTTTGGTTGAAAGTTTAATCATTCTGGAAGAACATAAACCAGTTGCAAGCATGTGTCACAATATATGACATCAGAAAACTGTAAATTGAATTGCTATATAAGAAACTATGGTTACATTTCCTAGCTCTTTGATGTATACATGAAATGAAGTATTACAATTATCTTGCAGGTCAAAATGTTTTAGGAATAAAGTGAGATCTTTTCATTTGTGATGTTGATTCCTAGGTAAATGATGGTTTCAATATAAATAAGAGGTGGCTTTTAAGTACATACCATTATTCCCTTCCTCCCATTAGAACTTGTACAAATCAACTTGATTAAGTACTAACCAATGATGCATACTCCTTGTTACATAAATTTTTTGGGATATTTTTTGTACTGGTAAACTATTGTAAACTTGTTAGTGATGCATTCTTTGCTGTTTGTATTTCATTTGAGCTGAATCAGTTATCTATACTACCTTATTAAACAAAACAAACCAAATAATTACTTGGAAGATGGATTGAAGGTTGAAGGACAGTGTAAGCAGAACGATTCGAGAACACAATGTAAACCAAATATTCAAAAACCTACAAAAAGATTTGAGAACACAGGTCAAATTTAAAAATTTAACAAATGACAATTTAACAGGAAAACAATTGAAGCCCTAAACCCAAAATCAGTAAATAACAAAATCAGTAAATAACAAAATCAGTAAATAACATCACTAAATGAAGCCCTAAACCTAAAACCCAAAAGCAAAACCCAAAAATAAAACTCAAACAGATGGAGAGCGAAAACCCAAAACCCAAAAGCAAAACCTAAAAACAAAACTCAAACAGATAAATTGTTCATACCTGAAAGTGATCGAGCAACGATTGGAGAGCGACGATTGAAGGCGATTGAACGATTCGGCGGTGGAAACGACGATTGAAAGCGATTGAGGAACGATTCGGCGGTGGGAACGACGATTTTGAGAAGGACGATGGACGACTCTTAAAGGGAACCATCTTGGGGAGTGAATCGTCGTCTTGGGAGCTGATAAGGGGAAGAGTCTTCTTGGGGGAGAGGAGCCGGGTAAAGTGAAGAGGCATCTTGGAGGAGGGGAGGCGTGTAAAGGAAGTGTAAGGGTATTTTGTGTAATAAAAAATTTAAGTCTTTAAGACTTTGAGTAAATTTGTTTAATAAGGTAGTATAGATATATTGGATTAAATAAATATTATTTAATTTATTTAAAAATAAAAAACAATATAATAGGTTGATTAAATTAATTTTTTTTAAATAATAAAACCTATTTATATTTCAAGGCCTGTTTGAAATAGGTTAATAAGACTCGTAGCTTATTTGTGAAAATGAATTTCTCCTCTCAAACCCACCTCTTCAACAGAAAAACCGAAAACTCCTCCTCTTTCCTTCTAAAATTAAAAATTAAAAAAACTATGTAAGCAGCTGCTCCTATTGTATGGTTGATGTTCAAATTGATTTGTTCTGTTTTCTTAATTTGCAATGCTATTTGGAGATCAATAAAACAAAGACAAAGACAAATACAAAGATAAAATGGTTATTTTCATCGTTCAGACAGTTTTTTCAACATAACAAATAAATAACAATTTTATTAATACAACTTTATGCATACATGACTTAATGAAAAACAACCACTTAGTAAGCTTTCATAACATAATTAGATAGAATAGAAAGTTTTTTTTATTATTATTAGAAATATA